TTAGACTACTTGCTTACTGGGTAATGAGTTTCCATACTAGAGGGTACGAATTCCACTACGCCATTCCTGTTACCTCGAGGGAAACCCATCCCTCGGAACTTGTGCAGAAGACCCGTTAGCAGTAAATCCCGCCTTAGTCTTGTGACAGTATCTGAATTCTAAAACTTTCAGAGTTATACTTGTCTGGTTCCTGAGGAATCAGAGTAGTCATTTTTTTGGAAAATGGGCCCCAGACTAAATAAATTTGGGGGGGCAAAAGAATCAGAGTGGTTTTATTTGAAAAGTCAGCCCTGGATGCAGTCGACCGTCGTCCAGTACCGTATTCTCCCGGATAAAACACCCTAGGGTGTTATGATAACCACTAGGAAAAAATGGGGGGGTCTCCTCAACGGAAAATCCTGTATAATACCCAGGTCTATTCATATGGCATTTTTTAATATAAGGATTTTGATAAATGGACAGCTTTGGTGTTTTCGAAGTTGGTTATGTCAGAATCCCAGCCACTAACCACTGAGATAAAAGGGCCTCACAACCTCCCACCTCATCACATGCCTCGTCCACACCTCCCTGAGGAAACGGCAGATACAGACGATGCACCCACTGATCCCACCGCCCCTGAAACCATCCTTGCCCTTGGACTGTCTATCTCGCCACAGCCCCTCCCAGAACCCACACCTGCAGACCTCACCCAGCTCCTCGCCTTCTATGCACGCTCGCCAGCCATCCGCGCCAAGCGCGACCTCTGGCACAAACGTTTCGGCCATCCCTCCCAGGAGGTTCTCAACAACTGCATCCGCGCCCAGGTCTTTCTACCTGGCACACTGCTTCGCACCGACGGAACACCGCTCACTGTTTCCACCTCCCAGCACACAGACTGCCACATCTGCCCCGAAGCTGCTCTCGCCCACCAGCCCTTCAAGCTCCTCGAACCTGGCACAAACCGCTACGAGAAACTGCAGAAGGTCTACAGCGACTTCCTCATTCTCACCCAGGCCGGCATCAACGGCGAAGACTACACCCTCACCTTCGTCGACGCACACTCTCGCTTCGTCTGGGTCACCAACGTCTCTCACAGGAGCAAAGTGTTCAACGTCTTCAAGGTCTGGCACGCCAATGCTGAAACTCAGTCGGGCTGCACCCTCAAGATCTGGCAAACTGACTGCGCCGCTGAATTCAAAAGCGACAAATTTGCGGACTACATAGCGGACAAAGGCATCGCGCACAAGCTCTCCCTCCCTTACGCGCACCCCCAACAAGGTGTTGCTGAGCGCACCAACCGCACGCTCATGACAAAGGACCGCGCACTCCTGCAGCAGAGCGACGTCGACGCGAAGTACTGGCCCTACGCCATGCACCACGCCGTTCGCCTTCACAACCTGCTCAGCACCACCGCCAACACTGACAATCTCTCCCCTCATCTCAAAATCATTGGCAAGCAGGGAGACGTCCCCATGCTCCGCGTCTGGGGCTGCATGGTTCAGTATCGGCCACCAGCAGCTACCACAGGGAAGTTTGAACGTCGCGCGCGATGGGGAGTACACCTCGGCATCAGCCTCGACCACAACGCATGGAATATCCTCGACCACGACACCTCCCAAGTGGTGGCAGCTCGTGACGTCATCTTCTACGAGGATCTAACAATCCGCAAGTTCCAGTGCGATCGCCATGCCGACCGCACCAGGGGAGAAACCAACGTTGCGGACTACGATCGACCCCCCCGCAGCTTCTTCACCCCTGACGACGAAGCGGAAGCGGCGCTTGCGGACCAAGACCCCACGGATCCCTACCCCTGCCCACGCCCCTGGAGCGATGAGGACGACGACGAGGATAGCGCTCCCCTCGACTCCTCGCGGGACTCCCTCCTTAGCCCCACTCCTTCCAACGGCCACGACTCTGACGATGACGTCGTGGAAGTCACCAGCGACCAACATCGCAGCACTGGCATCTCTGGCCTCCACATTCTGGGCCTGCACGCAGCCATCTCCCACCCTCTAAAGGCAATTGAACCCAAAACCCCACGTCAGGCTCTCACCGGCCCTTACGCCAAGGAGTGGAGCGCCGCAATGGACGCCGAGGTAGCCGCCCTGGAAGCTCGGGACACATGGGTCCTTGCCGATCGCGCAGCACTGAAGGGGAGGCGCGTCCTCTTGGGCAAGTGGATCTTCCGCGTCAAAACCGCAGCAGACGGCACCATCGAACGCTTCAAAGCTCGCTAGGTCGTCCGCGGCTTCGACCAACGTTACGGCGTGGACTTCGACCAAACTTTCGCACCCTCCAGTCAGCCGCCACACCTCCGTCCGCATTCTCCTCGCCATCGCAGCAGCCAAGCATCTTCCCCTCCGCCAAATCGATATAAAAAATGCCTTCCTCTACGCTCCTGTCGACGCGCTCATCTTCGTCGAACAACCCCACACCTACGGCAACGGCGATAACCGCGTGTGCCAGCTCCGCAAGTCCCTCTACGGCATCAAGCAGGCACCTCGCCTCTAGCAGCAACATCTTCACCAAATCCTTCTGGACATCGGCTTCACACAGCTGCCCCACGACCCTGGCATGTACCGTCTACACTACCGCGGAGATTACATCCTCTTCACGGCCTATGTGGATGACCTGCTCTACACCGGCACCAACACCGATCTCCTCGAGCAGTTCGAGAAGAACCTCAGCAACCGCGTGGAAATAACCAGCAACAACTCCGTCACTCAGTTTCTCGGACTCAACATCACCTACACCAATGACGCCATCCACCTCTCCGCCGCCAAGCATGCGGACACGCTTTCAACCAAGTTTAACATCATACCGGCCAACCTCTCAACCCCCTACCGCACCCCGGCAACCGCTGCCACCGTCATCACCAAACCTCTCAACCCCGTCGAACACCGCCTCTACCAACAGCAACTCGGCTGTCTTCTCTTCGCCGCTGTGACGTGCAGGCCTGACTTGTCCTACATCGCCAGCCAGCTCGCTCAGTATGCCAAGCGGCCTGAAGGGGAGCACATGCTGGATTTACAGCGCGCCCTGCAATATTTCATCTCCACGCCGCACATCGGACTCACCTACTCCACCCTCGTGACCCGCTCATTCAACCTCGTTGGTTGGCTACGTGGACGCAGATCACGCCGCTGACCCTGGAAATCGACGATCCCGAACTGGCTTCCTTTTCCGCCTCGAGCCAACAGGACTAATTTCCTGGAAATCCCAGAATCAGGAGATGGTGGCACTCTCTTCTGCCGAAGCCGAGTTCATCGCCGCCACGCCAGCCGTTCGCGAAGGACTCTACCTCCAGGAACTACTTCAGGAGGCGAAAATTGCGACGTCCGCGAGCTTCAAACTGCACTGCGACAACCAGAGCGCGATCAAAATCGCGAACAAGCCTGGCTTCGTCAACCGCACCAAGCACATCGCGCTCCGCTACTTCTTCGTCAAGGAAGAAGTTGACAAGGGCAAAGTCATCTTGACTTACTGCCCCACCGGTAACATGGCAGCCGATTTTCTCACCAAGTAACGGCTACATCAGCAGTACCAGCACTGCGGAGCCATCTGCGGTATAACCAAGCGCGTCAAGACTTCGCCACTCCAGGAATGAAGGGGAGTGTTACGATATGGAATGATTAAAACATTCCTAAAGTAACGAACTCTTGAAAACGCGAAGATGACTGCAGCGAGGACGAAAGACCAAGCGTCAAGACAGTTATCGAAGACGGTTGCAAGCAGGAAGAATTCGAAATGAAAAGAGCGGGAAAAGTTCAAACGGTTACCGAACCGCGTACAGTTACCAAGCCGCATAGTTGCGATCCTGCATCTAGATTAGCCCTAAGGGGAATGTACCCCCTCAGAGTACATGTCCTAGCTAGGACCCTTCGTATTCCTATATAAACCCTTGTACCGCATTGTGTTAATCACTTCTGTCGAGATTCAAATCTCCTTCTACTGACAGAGTCCGTACCCGACATTGCCCAAACCTTCCGCTGCTACACTCCGTGCGATCAACCTGAGACGATCCTATAAGACGGTTCAGATTGCATCACTAGTGACGTACCATCTACTAGTCTCGTGTCAATCTCAGGTAAGCGGTCCAGTGTTAGTTTGAGTCTACGTGCAGCGGCGGTATTTATTAAACTGTGGCCAGCCCTCCCTTCTACGAAGATCTTAACTAAGTCGGTGTAGATACAAAATTTACCGAGAATGTGCCACCCTGGCAAAAACACGTGCGTCTGGCCTCTCGATATCAGGGTGATTCACCCTTATGACCCTTACTATAAGGGCGGGTTTTACGATGCACCCTTTTTTACAAGACTGGTTTTGTTTTCGACCCTTACCAAAAAAAGTGATCGATTGTATGACACTGATATTAGTGCTATGTGGTGTAGTAGCACTGATGAAATCGAGTTCGATCTAAGAGAGGATACTAGGATTGGTCGCGTAAAACATATTGCGTAAAACATATTTCCTACGTTGGATGACCCCGGCAAGTATCGAACTTGGGTCCTCCACATAACAACGAAAACTCAACACACTGCAACACTAACACCCTCAGCAAAACTATTCGACCTTTTTTTAATTTGTTTGCACCCTGATTTTTAAGAGCAGTTCCTGTGAAGCACCCTTACTGAAAGAGTAACAGCTGGGTGTTGGCCTTACGAGGAAGAGTACCCCAAATCCTATCCAGAGGCCTGACGTGCGTGCATGTGGCAATTTCGCCAGGCAAGCCAGGGAAGATTTCGCCAAGCACGTTGACGACGATTGCTACTGGCGCTTTAGTGGCGGATTCATTGGAAAGAATGCATATTGCAGTAAAAAATTCATTGGGTGCGCTTACCTATACAAAGATGATCCAAATTCATGGTGAGCTTATAATCGGCAATTGACTATAAGCCCACTGGTACAATTACACGTGCATGGGTGTAACACAGGCCTGGATGTATATCCGGTGTATGACGGTAGTGACGAATATGCAAACAAAATCTAAAAGCACTAGTACATGCATGCAAATCTGAAGTTCAATCGGATTCCATGAACCATGAACCCTGTTCGCCACAACTCTCACTCCCATTGCTAGGCTCCAACCATTGGAACAGTCGCTGTTGCAAACTGCTCATTGACGAGGTCAAGTGGGGTGGGGGAAGGAGATCCGACAGGTGGAAGAACGATGGTTCTAGAGAGGAAAGGGAAAAGGGGGGCAAGAAAGAAATACAGGTGAAGGGATACATCAGAGGGAAGGAGAGAGGGGGTGGAAGGAGAGAAGGAAAAAACAAGGCGAGAGGAGAAGAATGACAAGTCAGGATAGCAGCAAAGGTAAAAAATGTTGGAGAGGGAGAAGAAGAGGGAGAGAAGGGGAGGTGGGGAGGGGGGAGGAAGGGGGGGAGCGGGCAGGGGGGGAGGGGGGAGGGGGGGGGGGGAGGGGGGCAAGGGGGGAGAGGGGGAGAGGAGGGGGGGACGGGCTGAGGGAGTGAGGGGGTGAGGGTGGGGAGGGGGGGAGGGGGGGAGGGGAGAGGGAGGGGGGGGGAGAGGGGGAGGGGGAGAGGGGGAGGGAGAAGGGGAGCAGAGAGGGAGAGAGGGGGAGGGGGGGAGGGGAGGGGGAGAGGGGAGAGGGGGGAGGAGGGGGAGGGGGAGAGGGAGGGGGAGAGAGGGGGGGGAGGGGGAGGGGGAGAGGGAGGGGGGGAGGGGGAGGGGAAAAGGAAGGGGGGGGAGGGGGAGGGAGGGGGAGGGAGGGAGGGAGGGGAGGAGGGAGAGGGAGGGAGGGGAGGGAGAGGGAGGGAGAGAGAGAGCGAGAGAGGAGAGAGGAGAGAGAGGAGAGAGAGAGGAGGAGATGAGGAGAGAGAGAGAGAAAGAGAGAGAGGAGGAGGAGGAGGATGGAGGAATGCGCAAGAGAGGTGGAATTTACAGAAGAGGAGGGAGGAGGGAGGGGGGAAAGAAAAAAAAGAGCAAGAGAGAGTGAGGAAAAAGGAGAGAAAAACAAGACATAAAAAAGCAACAATATGCGATGACATAGGAAAACAGGAAGACAATTACAAGGGGTAGAAATGACCACGTGTAACAAAGAGGGGGAGAGGGGATGAAATAAGAAAAAACACACCACAGTTACCTCTTACTGTGCAGACTTGTTTCGCTTAAATCGCGATGGCCTGGCTCGCGCACCACTTCCGCTTGCCTCATTCACCCTCGAAACATCAGAAACAAGGCTGTCATCAACAGTGGAGGGCGTCGGTAACTGGGTGCCGATGATCTGAGACGCATGAAATTGCGTCTCCATCTGACTCGCGTCTACCTGTGCCCCACTCATGCGAGTCTCCCCTGCCTTCCTTTTCCTGCCTCTACCATTCGCGCCACTGTTGCTTGCACTACAATCCCTTCTCTCCCATGTTCTCGCGCCCTCACATCTCCATCATCCGCCACTCGCACCAGCTGCACCTCCTGAACATCGTCGTCACTTGATGCACTTTTTTCGTCATCACTCCCTTCTACATTCTCCTCGCCCTCATCCTCGCCCTCATCCTCGCCCTCATCCTCGCCCTCATCCTCGCCCTCATCCTCGCCCTCATCCTCGCCCTCATCCTCGCCCTCATCCTCGCCCTCATCCTCGCCCTCATGCTCGCCCTCATGCTCGCTCTGATCCTCGCCTCATGCTCGCCCTCATCCTCGCCCTCCTCCTCGCCCTCCTCCTCGCCCTCATCCTCCGCCCTCATCCTCGCCCTCATCCTCGCCCTCCTCCTCGCCCTCCTCCTCGCCCTCCTCCTCGCCCTCCTCCTCGCCCTCCTCCTCGCCCTCCTCCTCGCCCTCCTCCTCTCCCTCCTCCTCGCCCTCCTCCTCGCCCTCCTCCTCGCCCTCCTCGCCCTCCTCCTCGCACTCCTCCTCGCCCTCCTCCTCGCCCTCCTCCTCGCCCTCCTCCTCGCCTTTCTCTTCTTGCCTTGCCTGTACCTCACTGTTCAACCGGTGTATTTTCCAAAGCCGTTGGGCAACGTTGTACGCCTCAAGGGGCGTCAAGGTGGGGTTTTCAAGCAAGATCTGAGCCATGCGCGCGCGAGACCAACGAGTCATCTCGCTTTGAACCGCGCTCAAGGGCCTCTTCTGTTTGGCTGCACTGATCTTCGCCTCGTTGCCCTCGCCTCTCTTCCCCTTCCTACCCAAACCTCCCCCTTCATCACCCACATGACCTCCACTTGTCCCCTCCTGTCCATCATCCACCTTTGCCTTCTCTTTACCTTTGTCCATTGTTATCTTCCTTCTGTCTGCCACTTTCACCTTCACGTTATCTTCAGCCTTTCTGTTCCCATTCCCTACCACCTGGGAGGCAGCCGTGCGGGTGGCAGTAGCGCGTGTGGCAACAGGTGTGGCAGTAGCGCGGGAGGCAGCAGTGCGGGTGGTAGCAGTACGTGTGGTAACAGGTGTGGCAGTAGCGAGAGAGGCAGCAGTGCGGGTGGCAGTAGCGCGTGTGGCAACATGTGTGGCAGTAACGGGGGAGGCAGCAATGCGGGTGGCAGCAGCGCGTGTGGCAACAGGTGTGGCAGTAGCGGGGGAGGAAGCAGTGCGGATGGCAGCAGCGCATGTGGCAACAGGTGTGGCAGTAGCGGGGGAGGCAGCAGTGCGGGTGGCAGCAGCGCGTGTGGCAACAGGTGTGGCAGTAGCGGGGGAGGCAGCAGTGCGGGTGGCAGCAACGCGTGTGGCAACAGGTGTGGCAGTAGCGGGGGAGGCAGCAGTGCGGGTGGCAGTAGCGCGTGTGGCAACAGGTGTGGCCGTAGCGAGGGAGGCAGCAGTGCGGGTGGCAGCAGCGCGTGTGGCAACAGGTGTGGCAGCCGCAGGAGTGGAAGCCGCAAGTGTGGCTGCAGCAGTTGTGGCAGCATCAGTTGTGGCAGCATCAGTTGTGGCAGCATCAGTTGTGGCAGCAGCAGTTGTGGCAGCAGCAGTTGTGGCAGCAGCAGTTGTGGCAGCAGCAGTTGCGGCAACAGCAGTTGTGGCAGCAGCAGTTGTGGCAGCAGCAAGCGTGGCAGCAGCAAGCGTGGCATCAACAGTGGCACGATGGGCGGCGAGCATCCGCAACAGAGAGCTGCTCATGGTAGCCGGCACTCCCTCTGATGGCCGGGTATGGTTGGCAGAGAGAGGGAAAAAAAAAACAATAGGAGAACATATAAATTGCCTTCTCTCACCACCAACACCCTGTCTCACCGGCAGCACCTGCTCTCACCGGCAGCACCTGCTCTCACCGGCAGCACCTGCTCTCACCGGCAGCGAGGCGGGAGCGCGAGGCGATCTCGGCGAGGACGAGCTGCATGTTGGACTCGGCGGTGGCCACCAGCAGCACCAGCTCGCGCTCCTGCCTCGCCCGCTCAGCGCCCTCGCCCACATGCGGCGTTCCTTCGCCACCCGCTGCAGCCCGCCTCCCCTCGGGCTGCCTCCCCTCGGCCCGCCTCCCCTCGGCCCGCCTCCCCTCGGGCTGCCTCCCCTCGGGCTGCCTCCCCTCGGCCCGCCTCCCCTCGGCCCGCCTCCCCTCGGGCTGCCTCCCCTCGGGCTGCCTCCCCTCGGGCTGCCTCCCCTCGGGCTGCCTCCCCTCGGGCTGCCTCCCCTCGGGCTGCCTCCGCGCGGGCTGCCTCCCCTCGGGCTCCTGGCGCGGGGACCTGCCAGATGGTAGGGCACGCGGCAGAGAAGCAAAGGTGGTGACATCGCGAGTGGTGACGCCGCGAGTGGTGATTCCGAGGGACGCTCTTACTCGGAGGCAACGCAAGAGCCACGTTGACATGACGACAGGCGCTGTGATGCGGCTGACGCTGACGGCTGGCAGGCGCCTCGACGGCCATCCGACGTGGCGAGGCAGCAGCGAGTGGAGCAATACGTTGTAGCTGTGGGATCGCGCTACGATGGCAACACGGTGGGCGGGGGTGGCGCGCGTGGCTCGGAGCGGAGTGACGGTGAGTCGAGAGTGCGTGGTAACATAGAATTTGTACCCGAATGTGTCTTGACGTGCGGCAGCGGTTGACAATGTCGACAATTCAACCGTCTAACAGTTCATTCTCTAGACGGCGAGGTCGCGTCCCGCATGGCGCACGACGCGACGCGGGGGTGGACGGCGACGAGCTACCGCCGCGGGGTACCGTCGCACAGCAATTCGACTAAAGCGCTGGCGACGCATGCTCGCAATGCGAGGGGGAATGCTTCTCTCGTGGAGACAAAGGAAAACGGAAGCGATGGGCCTCACCTCCTCGGGCGGTCGCTTCCGCCATGATTCATGATGATCCAAGGCGAAGGCGAACCTCACGTCAAGGAAGAAACTCGCTCTGCTCCGCCCCACACGGCTGACGCGCTTCTGCCCGTTCCACGTCCGACTTACGGTGCTGTTAATTCTCTTACACTCGAAATTATTAATGCCACGGCAGACTTGTACAGTATCCGAGAGGCCGCGGCGAAACCGATTAGCTCGCTACGAAGCAAAAAGTGCTAAACGCGAAGCGCACGCGAGTGAGTGAGAGCAGGTTTAGTAACTGGGAAGTACGATAGCCGACTGTGATGAATACCAACATTGGACGCGGTAAAAGTGGGAAATCGATCGCCACAGGATCGTGTACTTTTATCGCGTTCTTATTTTTTGCGACGAGTGGAACGGTCAGATGGGAGTCTGTCGCCTTGACTAGACTTGGTTAGGGGTAAACACGTTGCTGTACCACGTCAGCAAACTCTTGCGAAAAGGCTTGGGTGAGCCGCGGGATGTGATGGGTCTGCGCGGGAAGCAGGGAAATGGTGGGATTGTGGGAGAAGCGAGGCGAGGTGATGCGCTCCACCCCGCAAAGCTGCCAGAGTGTTGGCGCGAAAGGGATCCGAGCCGACTGGTTGGACGACTCGCTGTTGTCGTCACGGCGGGCTGCTCTCCAGGTGATTCGTTAGGGCGCGTGTCTTTTGGTTTTTACATGCAAATCTCGAATTTTTTGTTGAACTGTAGTCATATGAACCTAGCTCGAGCTAGGCTCGAGTTTTCACCAACTGCAAACCGAGCCGCGGTTCCACCCCTCCCGAAAATCACGCGACAAACAAAAGTTCAACTATCGAAGTTGAACTTTTGCAGCCCAGCCGAGCCGCGACCTACGCTTGTAGGTTACCCGGTTTGGGCTCTTGACATCGCGCCACCGGGACTCGCGCTGACGAGCACCCTCGTGCGCACGATGCTAGCTGCGAGCGTCGCAGACTTCGCATCGTCGCTGTCAGTGATGAGGTGGACACACGCTCGCACATTCGTGCCAACCTGTTTGTTGATGAGGGTTCAACTTGGGGGCTCAACATTTTCCGATGCCGGAAGTGTACGTGGACACACGACGTCCTGGCGAATGTTTTGACGAAATTAACGAATAGGGTAACCAGCAAAAGTTCAACCGAAAATCCGAACATCTACACCAAAAGACACGCGCCCTTAGTGGAGTTTGAACAGTGCGCCTCTGAACGTTGCTCAAACGAAAAACGAAACCGTTGGCGAGGGGGTTGGCGAGATGTTGAAACCAGAACATTCGCGATGGGTGAGTTGAGTTGAGTTGAGTTGTGTCGTGACAAGGAGAGAATGACTCCAGTGGCCAAAACGGTGATTCACCATCCCTCGCGTGGCCACGAATGACTCGAGTGGCCACCAAATTTGGTGATAATGACTCGAGTGGCCACGCCAGGGGATTCTTGCTGGCTTTTTTTTTCACGGCGCATTACCCTAAGGTGATAAAAAAATAAACCCCATGGCTTACGGCATGCCATTCGGGAGCCTCAACCCTAAAATTTTAGGGTTGAGGCTTCCTCGGATGGCATGCCTTCCGAGTGGGTTTTAGTTTTTTTCTTGCCCGCGGTCACTAATGTGTTCGCGCATTTATGCCCCCGCAGAGCAGTTTATGATCGCTGATATTTTTACCGCGCGCTCATTGGTCGGGCATTGGGCCGAAAATGACCGTGCAACTACTGTTGGTCGTGCATTTTTTACGGTTTTGTGTACAGTGTGTGGGCGAAATTTTCGGGTGCGGAACAGAACGGAACACTACCTAAGGATACCACTCGCACGAATGGGGAATTTCGTGGCTACAAAGCCCCGTAGGGTAATGCGCTAAAGAGAAAAAAGCCAGCAAGAATCCCCTGGCGTGGCCACTCGAGTCATTATCACCAAATTTGGTGGCCACTCGAGTCATTCGTGGCCACGCGAGGGATGGTGAATCACCTTATTGGCCACTGGAGTCATTCTCTCCGTGACAAGGGACAGGAGCGAAGCCCAGAGGGTCGAGAGAATAAGGAACTGTTAGGTGTGTGCCTAGAGCGAACCCACAGCTAGCTGCGACGGGTATAGTATAACTAAACGTTTTACATCGGAGAACAGCCAACCTCCGAAATCAACTTGATCGGAAGTTGGGATGTACTTGTGTGTTATCGCGGCTGCAGGTTGAGTTGAAGGACGATTGATAGTGCATTGCTGGTCAGCCGCGATTGGCCGAAACTCGAAAAGCTGCCCAATTCAATTTCGTGTCATGCACCCTGTCAACCTGTTTGGCATATGCGCACAGGTCGAGGGGTGAATGGCAGGTCCGGTGCAGCCTGGCTGGAAGAAAACAGGTTCGGCAGCCTTGTGCTTCGCGTAGAGGTTGGTGCGTTATTTCCCACTAGTCTGGAGCGTTTGAGAAGCTTTGATAAAAACTGGATTTAGTGTTTGTAACAGAAATTGTAGTCACACTTATAAAAACTCTTACGTTGGACGCCATCATGAATGCTAAATTCAAAAGCCAATCCTTTTCAACCCTTCAGTAGGTTTTTTTTTTGTATGGTGTTGTGGAGATTACATGATTATGGGATCTAATTGTCTAGTCATGATAAATCATCGATGCTTATCTTACTGTATGTGACGGTAAATACCAACATAGTTGTAAGTTTAGGACGGGTGCGTTTACAACAAAATATGGAATAGATATGGTCGTTCTCAAAAGGTTAGCACTTCTGTGTATATATATCTGATTATAGGTTGACGTAGTTAATTGTATTATTCTGTTGGTTTCCTTAGTACATGTTTATAAACCAGGAGTTAATATAGAGGCAGTAACAGGTAAGCAGTACATAATCATTATCCAACTATAGTGTGTGCCCAACCTTGTTTACATCCCACGTGTTGTAACAGCAGTGGTGCTTATCTGGATTCATGATCCATACCAGTCGCAGTCGATCCACGCTGATTGTTTGGACTGAACAGATTCATCCTCTGTTCCAAGTTTGTCGGAGGTTCTGGCGTGGTGGCCTTTTATTGGTGATCTACCGTTGGAAGAAATTGGGTGAACGAGGTTGTTCGGTCCAGAGCACTGAAGCGTCGGGGCTCGTCGCATGACGATCTGGCATTGGATGAAATTAGCAACCACCCTTTCGTTCAGTCCAACCAAACACCTCCCTCTTGAACGCGCCGCGAAAGCAAGGCGCATGCTCGCCTGTCCATGCAAATCTCACAAATACACTCGAATCCATCACAAGTGTTCATGTAACTTCGACCATTCAATTTTCTCAGGAATCTTCGACTTTCACTGCTCGACACCACATATCTCCCTTCCAGTCTCTATCTTATCTCCTACTCTCCCGTTTCACCGTTCCACCACCTCCTAAACGTCCGCCATCCCTCTTGCTTCCACCTCCGCGCGTTCCTACTCGTCCGCGACCTGGAGTTCCAGCTTCTCGGGAGCTCGCCATTACGTCTCCTCGCCTAAAGCGCCGTCAGATTTCCCGCCGATTCCGCCATCCCACGTCCTCGCCTTGGCGCCATCTCACCTCCTCGCCTTCGCGCCATCTCACCTCCTCCCCACTCCGTCATCTCACCCCACCTCCTCCCCTTTCCCCCATTCCACCTCCTCCCCTTTCCGCCATCCCACCTCCTCCCCATTCCGTCATCCCACCTCGTCGCCTTTCCACCATCCCACCTCCTCCCCTTTCCGCCATCCCACCTCCTCCCTTTTCCGCCATCCCACCTCCTCGCCTTTCCGCTCATTCCATTCCCATTTTCCCCATTTCGTCTCCCCCCGCTCATCCCATTCCCCCCATCCGCTTCCCCTCATCCCATTCATCCCATCTCTCCCCCGCTCATCCCATTCCCCCCATCCGTTTCCTCCCATCCCATTCATCCCATCTCTCCCCCGCTCATCCCATTCCCCCCATCCGCTTCCTCCCATACCATTCATCCCATCCCCCCCAGCTCATCCCTTTACCCCCATTCCGTCCTCCCATCCCATTCATCCCATCTTCCCCCGCTCATCCCTTTTCCCCCATCCGTATCCTCCCCATCCCATTCATCCCATTCCCCCCATCCGCTTCCTCTCATCCCATTCATCCCATCTTTTCCCCGCTCATCCCATTCCCCCCATCCGTTTCCTCCCATCCCATTCATCCTATCTCTCCCCCGCTCATCCCATTCCCCCCATCCGCTTTCTCCCATACCATTCATCCCATCCTCCCCCGCTCATCCCTTTACCCCCATTCCGTCCTCCCATCCCATTCATCCCATCTCCCCCCGCTCATCCCTTTTCCCCCATCCGTATCCTCCCCGTCCCATTCATCCCATTTCCCCCATCCGCTTCCTCTCATCCCATTCATCCCATCTCTCCCCCGCTCATCCCATTCCCCCCATCCGTTTCCTCCCATCCCATTCATCCCATCTCTCCCCCGATCATCCCATTCCCCCCATCCGTTTCCTCCCATCCCATTCATCCCATCTCTCCCCCGCTCATCCCATTCCCCCCATCCGTTTCCTCCCATCCCATTCATCCCATCTCTCCCCCGCTCATCCCATTCCCCCCATCTGTTTCCTCCCATCCCATTCATCCCATCTTCCCCCGCTCATCCCTTTTCCCCCATTCCGTCCTCCCATCCCATTCATCCCATCCGTTTCCCCCCATCCCATTCATCCCATCTCTCCCCCGCTCATCCCATTCCCCCCATCCGTTTCCTCCCATCCCATTCATCCCATCTCTCTCCCGCTCATCCCATTCCCCCCATCCGTTTCCTCCCATCCCATTCATCCCATCTCTCCCCCGCTCATCCCATTCCCCCCATCCGTTTCCTCCCATCCCATTCATCCCATCTTCCCCCGCTCATCCCTTTTCCCCCATTCCGTCCTCCCATCCCATTCATCCCATGTCCCCCCGCTCATCCCATTTCCTCCATCCGTTTCCTCCCATCCCAAGCATCCCATCCTCCCCCGCTCATCCCATTTCCCCCGTCCGCTTCCTCCATCCCATTCATCC